GAGTGAGACCCTGTCTCCTCCATCCCCTCAAAAAGTCCAAAGTTAAGTTAATTCAGCCTAACTCTCTCTCTCTCTCTGGTATAAATAAAACAAGAAATGTTAAGTGGATGGCCTAAAGTCACATAGCTAGCTATTTGATTTTAGATGTGAATATGTTCATTTTCACAATAGCAACTACCTATTAGCTCGAAAGCATGAAAGCCAGGGAGCCAGAATGGAGGACTGTATTATTTCTCCTGAAAAACGTTCTGCTATTCATTCACCCATGCTGTACCTTACCTTATGGCGAGTGATGATAAAGTACGTGAGCAGGTCTTATTTTCCTCATTTCACTGGCAGAGAAACTGAGGTTCAGTAAGCTCAACTGCTTTGCTTAGAGCCATAAAATAAACATGCTGGGAAAACCGGGTACTGACAATCAGTTCAGCACTCGGTTTTGCCAATACTACTTTGAGCATTACTTTATTCTCAGAGAACAGAAAATGAGATCAAAACAAAGGCTAAGGTAAAAGCTTTTATACCCCAACTTACTCACTGCAACCAAATACTGAAGAAGAACCACACAAAGCAGCAAAGCCTTTGACACCTGTACTAAATTGTCAAAGCCTTCATCATAAACACTATAACCTTTCGGAATGATGAAGGTGCTTTGTCTGATTCAAGGAACTACTCTGGCCCTTAAGTAAAAGTTATCCTTACCTAGTCATTTACTGCTTTTGGGACTCCCCATGGAAAAAGCTGAGATACAGCTCAATGGCATGAATTATTCTGCCACCTTCAGGTTAATCTGGTCAGTCAACGTTGATGAGATGAGGGAACGAGCCAAACAGGGCTTATTCTTGTAGTAACTAAATAGCTACTCAAATACAGTAGTATACAAAGTTGATGCTTATTTATACAAGTAGCAGACAGTTTCCTGTTATAAAATGGATTTTGGATGAGGCAATCCTGTGTTCATAAGCTCCTAATAAAAATAGGAAACTGTCTATTTCTACCTCCCCACTGAAAACTGCTGAAGTCTTCTAGAAACTTTATAGAGTTGAAAGAAGAAATACCTGTCTATATACCATAAGGTCTCAGATCCCAAGCTATTCCCTCGGCCACGTCCTTTCCTTTCTTAGTTTATCCTGCACTAAACAAAACTGTCTGGAATTCATTCTTTAAAGGTTTATTTATGGTACATAGAGACTGTTTATGTGAAGCAGGGTATTTGCCTATTTCCCTCTTGGGACAGTGTTTAAAACTACAGGGATATTTCCCTCTCTGGCACTTTCTGAAATACAATTAACAATACTGGATCTTTTTTCCTTTTAACAAATCTGGTTTTTATTTAGGGAGGGGAGGAAAAAAGTAAAGGGTCTGAAGTTTCCCAACAAATTATTTCAAGCCTTTGAGAAGACAGTTTTAGGCTTTTTAAATAGTGTCTTTGTTTGAAACTCCCCATTACCCCCACCCTCTCACTCTGACCATTAAAATGTGGGTTTTCTTCCAAACTAGATTGCTCAATTAAAGCCCTTCTTTTGTAATACCCCAATGCTCTAAATGGAAAAAGGACTGCTGTAGGCCACCTCGTGAAACCTTTTAAAGGCTCCTGGCATCTTTTGATCTTTAAAAAAAGCCAAAAACACGTATAAGCTACCTGACATTTTCAATATCACTATGCCACTCTCTAACATGCAAACTTGGGAGAATGGAGAGAATGGGGAGTCAGGGAGGAATGCTGTGCTTTGGTCTCTGCATTTGTGAAATGGGACTATTATCTCCCCATTCTTCCATCGCAGAGTAAAGCATCCAATTGAGAAAGCAGATGTGAAACTGCTTTGAGGCCTTTTGAACAGACACTATATCTGGCAACAATGTACCCTCAGTGTAAACCTGAAGAGACTTCCCTCTGAGATTTCTGACAGTCTCACTTCTGGCCTGGAGTCAGGAGAATCAAGATAATTATTCCTTCAATACCAAAGACATGGTTTACCTTTTAGTCAGGCTCTCGTGATTCAGGGACAGGACTCCATTTTCTAAGCACATACTTTGAGCCATTATATATTCATCTAGAAGAGCAGAGTACCCTTTCTAAGAGCTACTAATAAAGGCATATTACTCTGTTAGAAAACTCTTTGAATAAATGACATTATTTTATGAGTCCCAGACTCCACTAGGAGAACTCAAGACACAGTAAAATGAGACTTCCACGAGCTGAGAATTTAACTCTTTAGTACCAATTCCCCACACCCTGCTGGAAACTCAAACTTACTGCACTCGGTGTGCCCCCCCCCCCCACACCTCTTCAAAACGGCGGCTCCATTTAATCTGTTTAACAATGATTTGAAAAATGCCCTGAAAATGTTCCTTCAATTCAGTGCCTGATGAAACATTCAACTGAAATGATTCCGTTGATTGTACGCCAAGTGCACACACAACCATCGCTACCATATAACTGGGGGGTTGGAGCTACTTCAACTGCAGAAAATCAGACGGCTTTTATCAGTCTGGGGAAGTTTTCCGCTGGGAGAAATTTGAAGGGAATAGTTAGGTGTCTGTGTTTCTTCGTAAGATGATTTTAAAAACAGGAAGTCCCCAACCCTCAGGAAATGCTTCACATTGGTTTGCTGGGCAAGTGCCAAGTGTTCTGGGGGAATATATACTTTATCAAACAAACCCATTCCAAAGGTCACACAAGTCAAGTGGATACTTGTGGATATTAGCAAGATAGTGGTTTTCCCATGGTTTTCCCCTTACTCCCTTGCTAACTCTAAGCATCTTTAATCTCCTGGGAAAACCGAAATTAAAGTGAATTAAGCAGATAGGGCAGTGAATGAAGGGTACCCTGCACTCTTCTGGAGATGACTGCAAGAGCCCTTCCTGTTCCAGGTCCTGACCAGCATTCCCAGCTGCTCATCCCCAGTTTGCCATCCCCACGCAGTCACTCTTGCCATACCCTTACCGAAATGTGATCTGATGTTGACCAGACTACTGTCTCATTACCTGTACGTCGATTTTAGAAGCTGTGAGTTGGCAGACATGGCCACATAAGGCCCACACATGTGTTTTGTTAGGCCCACAAAGTTTATAAAAAAACAAAAAACTTGAATTGGTTGCCAATGTTTAAAAACCAGGAGATGCCACATAAAAATCCAGATTTCCGGCTTCTCTTTAAAAATCTGGCAACATGGGGTTCACATTCCCCCACAACAGCAAGTGGCTAGAGCGGGCTGTGGCGGCCCCTTCAGATGGAGCAAGCACTCCCGGTAGGACAGACATGACACCGCCCCGCTGTGCTGCTCCATCCACTGCATCACCAGCATGGCCTTGCGGGCATCTAAGTTAGGACCCTAGACTTACTCCTTATCTGCTCATATCTCTGTTCCTGCACAGCAAGACGACTATCTTGTAGCATCTTAGAGGAAGCAGCAGGAGGCAGTGGGAAAAGTCCTGGACTGGTGGTTAGTAGGAAGATGGAGGTCTTGAGCAGTATCTTCGAGTGCAATAGATTGAAGAGCTACAACCAATGAGTGCAAGCTGCAGGGGGGCCAACTTTTTTTTTTTTTTTTTGAGACGGAGTTTCACTCTTGTTACCCAGGCTGGAGTGCAATGGCGCAATCTCGGCTCACCGCAACCTCCGCCTCCTGGGTTCAGGCAATTCTCCTGCCTCAGCCTCCTGAGTAGCTGGGATTAGAGGCACGTGCCACCATGCCCAGCTAATTTTTTGTATTTTTAGTAGAGACGGGGTTTCACCATGTTGACTGGGATGGTCTCGATCTCTTGACCTCGTGATCCACCCGCCTCAGCCTCCCAAAGTGCTGGGATTACAGGCATGAGCCACCGCGCCCGGCCAGTGGGGCCAACTTTAACTCAACCTAAGGAAAGACTTTCTAACACCCCTGGATTCACTCTTGCTTCTGTCACTACCTAGTTACACAGACTTGACAAACAAAACACTTAGAACCTCAATTCCCCTGTCTACCAAGCAAGTACATCACTGAGGACTCACAGGTCTAAAATTCTCTGGTTCTTTATGTTCTATGGGGAAGCACAGTATAGTGAAAAAAATATACAGACTTTGGAGTCAGACAGGCTTGGATTTGAATCCCAGCTCTCTTCCTTAAGATATACTTTATTGCTGAAAATGAAGATGGTGGTCAGGCTGTGTCTATTAAGTAGTCATCAAGATAGTTTGTCTAAGGGTTTCATCCTGATGTGGTGGTAGAGGAGGCCACATCCCAGTGGGTAAGTGGGCTATTTTGTAGGCAATAGATGCTCCTAGTGACGATTATTCAAAAAGAGGTGAATACTCAGGAAGAGAGAAGTAGGAAGGTGAGCAGATCTTGGGCACAAAAGGAAGATGCTGTCTTGACTTTGCTTTTTGTCTTGATCCTAGACACAACTTTAGAAAAAAGGCTTTTATCTCACTGAGGTAAACCAGGAGCTAAACAGAGAGCAAATGGGTTTTACAGAATTATTTGTGAATATCTTGAGATACTCCTTGATCTCTGTAATGTCGTAATTTTTTTTTTTTTTTAAAGACAAATATACATGAGTCAATAAACCTTCTGAAGGGCCAGGTGCAGTGGCTAAGCCGGTAGTCCCAGCACTTTGGGAGGCCGAGGTGGGTGGATCACGAGGTCAAGAGATGGAGACCATCCCGGTCAACATGGTGAAACCCCGTCTCTACTGAAAATACAAAAAATTAGCTGGGCATGGTGGCGCGTGCCTGTAATCCCAGCTACTCAGGAGGCTGAGGCAGGAGAATTGCCTGAACCCAGGAGGCGGAGATTGCGGTGAGCCGAGATCGCACCATTGCACTCCAGCCTGGGTAACAAGAGCGAAAATCCGTCTCAAAAAAAAAAAAAAAAACCTTCTGAAAAAGAAAATCTATAAAGATAAAATGTCAGCTATGAATGATGAGGGACAAAAGACAACAACAAACAACAAAGAGTAAACACACTCATTCTTTTCCAAGTAAAAGTCATCTTAAAAAATTTACCCAAATAGCAGCTTACCTTAAGATCCAGTGGCAGCTTGTTGGAGGTGAACACACTTAGCTTGATCTGAGGAATGCTGATTTTGAGATTTTCAAAGTAGTATCGAACTGGTGTTCCACCTTGCTCGACTGTCTTTTCATGGAGGTTTTCATCATATTTTTCAACCTCTGGTACAAAGGCAAAATTAAAAAGACAAAAAAGAATTTCTTAGTCTCCTGACCCAAACACTTATATTCACGTTGAAAAAATTCATCAAAAAAAGTAAACCATCTATATTACTCTTAATTTAGTTTGTGAGGGTACAGTGACGTGTATAGTATCCTGATGCCACTCTTTGTGAGAGTAGATCTGTTTCGTGTTGTTTATCAGAAAAGAAGACTAGCGTTTTAACTTGTGACTCTATACCATCCAACAGATGTCATCTTCAGAAAAAATAATCCCGATGGAAAAGCCCATGGCCACAGGTATATTTGTTAGCGATGTTATTATTATCAATGACCCGGATTATCTATATTGATTTTCCTAGCATCATATCCAAACAAGGTCTTAGAGTGCAGTGAAACTGAATCAAAATGAATATCACCAATTAATGAATCTGAGTGAAACATAATGCCTGAGAAAGGATCAGGCTACAAGCTATAAAGAGCTAATATCACTTCAAGAAGCCCCCTGTCTCCCAAACAGTGGACGTCCATTTAAATAGGACAATCAAGGCAGATTTTTTACTTGCCATCCCATGAAATTAAAGGAGAAGCACGGGCTACAACACAGCAATGTGCTCTTTGCACTTGACGTCGTATGCACATCCAACTGCACAGCACATTTTGCCTTGGCATGATGTGCCTTGGAAATTATATCAAAGACCTGGCATGTACCTACTTATCAAACACATTTCTGTTGTAAGCTATTATCAGTGCTACTCACAGAAAAATGATACTGCAACAGAGACCTGCCCATTTGTGCTGAGGAAGCAGAAACAGCTACAGACAGGATGGGAGGTACTTTAAGGAGCAGCAGGACTGGGCTTGTGGATCTGAGGGCTGCATGCTGCCTCTGTCCCATCCCATCAGCACGGGTGACAACATACCAGAAATATGGGAAGCAACTCTTAGCTCCCACTCCAATGAAAGGCAGGCCAGGACTTTACAAAAGTCTAAATCCATGCTTGAGGAGAAATTTATTACAGCAATTTATAAGAAAATTTATAAGAAAAGCATGTAAAATCAAATTTACATAAAACTTCCCAGGAAGGTACCAAAACAGAATGGATACCTGGCAGGCAGGCTCCCAAGTGGCTGTCTGAATACAAATAAACACTGGCGTTCCAACCCAAAGTGGAAAACACAGCATTAAACAGACAGGATCTTGCTCTTGATCCCAAATACTCTTAAAGCTTAAATTCTAAATCTGGGATAAAAAGAACAAAAATATTTTTCTTGCATTGTGTGTATGGATGTACATGTGTACACACATTCCCAGTAATTTTTTTCTCTAGCCAACATAGGCAGACCAACATAAAAGCCTCTTTCTTATCATTTCTTCAGGCTCAATATTTAGTTTAGGCTTCAAAAGACTGAGTATTATTGAATTTTTTTCTAAGCTGTATACACAGCCCCGAAAAGCCCATCTAAAAGCAGGAGGAAAGGCCACGAGGAGGAATCTAAAAGAAGCAACCGCTCAATTATTTCTGGAGCACTGCTGGAAACCTGGGTTTTTCAACATCTTACCTTACTCTCTTCTACAAAGAAGAGAGTAAAGTAACTAGAAACCTTTGTAATTACAGAAAGGCACAAGGGTTTGGATGTCAAAAGTTGATGAATTGAGGCTAGCCAATTTTATTTTCTCAACTAAACCAAAGGAACTGCCGAAGGGATTTCTGATTCTTGGCCTGGAGTCTGTTTAATAAACAAAAGTTAGGAAACAAAGTGGCGTGCTAAATGACTAACATCATTTCTGTCATCCTAGAGCAGATGAATCAAAAAGTGCAAAGCAAACAGGAATAGTATACTGCTTCCCAAAGGTGTACCACTGCATACTCCAGGATTCCTGAAGACCCTTGGAATGGCTGCTTTAGTTCACAGAGATAACTCAGATGACAAGTAATACTTTGAAAAAGCACAACTGAAACACAAGCCTTAGCTTCTTAGCTCAGTCTGAGATGTGGAGAGGGGACATCATAACCAAACAAGGTCTTAGAGTGCAGTGAAACTGAATCAAAATGATATCACCAATTAATGAATCTGAGTGAAACATAATGCCTGAGAAAGGATCAGACACTAAGGGGCCACCTATTTTACAAACAGGCTCAAAAATATCATCTTTGGACCAATTCCCAGACACAGACATAGAACATTCAAAATTACCTGATTCTGCTTGATCGTAGCCAAAGAAACTTAGCAGCTTGAGGAGCAGTTTCTCCTCAATTTGCACTGTGAATCTCTGAGCTGTGATCATCAGATGCTAGAGATAAAGAAATTCCGATTTAAAGTGTGAACATCAAAAGAAACATTCATCTGTGCCATCAAGAAGGCCTCAATGACATAGTATGGTTTCACTAATCATATGGCTTTATGACCATAATGCCAAATTATTTGTCTTATCTCTCTATATATTGTTATGATTAACCAAAAACTCCCAAAAGATGTTTAATAGATGGTTTGCCATTCTACTGTTTGGTTCCCAGGAAATCTGGGCCTCATTAGTCAGGATTCCAGCCTCAGATGCCCTGTGGTGTAAGAACTTTATGGTGTATGCTTAGATGGATGGCAGCTAGTTTAAGGAGCAGCATGACTGCGCTTGTGGATCTCAGGGTTACAGGCAGGTTTGGTTCCAGCAGCACTGGTGACAAAGGACCAGAAGTATGGAAAGCAACCCCTGGTTGGCTCCCACTTTTCCAGAGTTGGCTGCTGGAACATCTAGCTTGTGCATGGAGACCCCTTCAAGAAAGAAAGTTTATGAGTTATAACTATCTGCTTTTGGTAAACAGTGTGGTTACTTAGGTAGCAGCATGTCTGTCTCAAGGTCAGACCCGGCATAGCCCCTGCCCAATATCTCAGGGTTATCCTGTCTGTGTGTGTGTGTGTGCACACACGCACACACATCTCACTCTGTCACCCAAGCTGGAGTGCAGTGGCATTATCATGGCTTGCTGCAGCCTAAAACTCCCAGGCTCAGAACCTCCCACCTCAGCCTCCTAAGTAGCTGGGACTACAGATACTTGCCACCAGTTCCAGTTAATTTTCATACTTTTTATAGAAATGGGGTTTCACCACATTACCCAAGCTGGTCTCAAACTTCTAGGCTCAAGTGATCCACCTGCCTTAGCCTCCCAAAGTGCTGGGATTACAGGTGAGAGCCAGTGAGCTCAGCTGGGGTTATTCTATTTTTAATAATAGATCTGGATCATGCCTGGTCCAGACCAATCTAGAAGATGCTGCACTTTCCTATAATGACTTCACTCTCATGAATACAGACTCTGGCCCATATGGATTCAATACTGTCAAACCATCACCTGCAAGGTCACTGAAAACACAACTGAGAATACAAAGTGCCAAAAGGAGTAGTTCCTGTCAATTCCTCCAAACAATCTATTATGTCACACGTGGCTTAACCCTGCAGAGCTATTCCCATCAGCATCCAGCACTGCACTCTGAGACTTGGCTGTGAGAGAACAAATAAACCTTCCAGCATGGCATCGACCCACCAGCCTCCCCCACCAGCCCACCTTGTAGATGTTGGTCAGTGCACTCTTACTGGGGAACTTCACTGCGTTGACTTGCACGGCTGGTCCAGTCTCGATGACCTCATTCTCATTGCTCAGGGGAGTCACATAGAGCATGAAGGGCTGCGTGGTGCCGATGAGCTGATTGTCCACCTACAACCATGAAAAGGTAACAAAGCAAAAACAGAAACAGAACAGTGGCTCAGTTTTCATTTTTATGCTTGAGTGGGGCCTCATAATGTGCAGGTTGCTCAGAAAGCACCCTTGCCATTTAACTTGATCTCAATAGCAACTCACAAAAGGGCAGTCATAATAAAGTTGGCAGTCATAGTAACAGACTCTAAACTTCATTAGGGGAATGCTTCACTAACAGAATAGATTTTTAGTTTTCTCACCACAAAAAAATAAGTATGTGAGGTGATACATACATTAGCTCAGTTTAGCCATTCTAAAACATAAAAATATTTCCAAACATCATGTTGTATATGATGAATATATACAATTTTTTTTTTTTTGAGACGGAGTTTCGCTCTTGTTGCCCAGGCTGGAGCGCAATGGCACGATCTCAGCTCACCTCTACCTCCACCACCCAGATTCAAGTGAGTCTCCTGCCTCAGCCTGCCAAGTAGTTGGGATTACAGGCATGCACCACCACGCCAGGCTAATGTTGTATTTTTAGTAGAGACGGGGTTTCTCCATGTTAGTCAGGCTGGTCTCAAATTCCCAACCTCAGGTGATCCACCTGCCTCAGCCTCCCAAAGTGCTAGGATTGCAGGTGTGAGCCACTGCGCCTGGCCAAATGTATACAATTTTTATTCATTGGCTAAAAAATCAACTATTTGAAAAAAGGCATTTTTTTTAAGTCCATGACCTGCTGAATGAAAACAATTTAATTAAAAAAGTAAAACAGGTGATACTAAGTGCAAAGCTCCATGCTAGCCACTTCATATACATGATATCAAGTCACACCACACCTATAATGCTGGTGGTTAAAATAAGGGCTTTGCTGCAGTCCTTATGACAACTTCATGAGCTCTGTCCTTATGTTATAGCTGAAGAAGCTCAGAAGAGAGGCCCTTGCGTAGGGTCACACCACTAGTCAATGGCAGAGCTAGAACTTGAATCCAGGTCTGTCTGACCCCAAGGCCAGCACTCTTAAACATAATGCTATCAATGCTTCTCTTTGGCTCCAAATTCCTTGAAAACAATTTAGAGAACCAGTAGCTCAAATGGCTACCAAATGGGAACAGTTCCCTCTACTAAAGTTATCTCCCTTCTCAGGAATGAATCAATTAAGTCAGTGGCATTAGGGTTGACTCTATTTACGCAGCCCTGATCAGTGCCATAACAGAGGACAATCGCCACACTCAGATGTGCATGGATGTCTGGAGGCTCCTTGCAGGAAGCAGCCACCTTCATGTTCTGTCTCACATCAAAGGTCATCACCAGGAAGAGGAAAGAGAGGAGACCATCTTTTTGGGTACCCCTAAGAGACTATCTGCAGGCGCTTTCCACATGCCACCTAACATATCGCTTCCTAAACCCCTAAAGGGTAGGTATTATTCCTCCCCATTTTACAAACAAGTAGGCAGAAGCTTAGAGAAGTACAATTTCTTGCCCTCATTCACACAGCTTGTAAGTGGAAGAGGTGAGATACAAATGCAGAAATTTCTGGCGCCGAATCCTCTGACCTCTCCCTTGTATCGCCCGGATTTCCACATAGACATTTTTATACAACCGGAACTGACTTTCCTTCTGTTGGTTCTCAGGGCAGGGATAAGAGCAAGAGACTTGGAGTATTTTTCCTACTTCCATTCCTGCCTCCTAGAGTGTATTCTCTGTATAGCAGCCAAAGTGATCTTTCAGTAAAACAGAAATCGAGTCATGCACCTCCTTCCTTGATACTCTTCAGTGGTGTCCCCTTCTTTTAGGATAAAACCAGATTTCTTACGGCAGCTTCTAAGGCCTGCATGAACTGGCTACCACCAAATTCCCCAACTTCCTCACACACCACCCTTCCAGTTCCCTATCATCCTCGCCCAAGCCTCCTTATTGTTTCTACAATGTGGGCGAGTCCTTCCTTCCTCAGGGTCTCTGAATTGCCTGAAATTGTTTTCCTAGTGACCATCTCTATGGTTTGCTTATTCGGTTCCGGGCTCACTTCCTCAGGAAGATCTTCCTGAGTCACGTTTTCTAAAGTAGCACTTTATCTAAAGTCGCCATTCTTCACAGCAGTTATCACAGAATGTCATTTGCTTGTTTGCTTGCCTGACTTTCTCTCTAGGCTGTTGGTTCAAGAAGAGCAGAGCCTGTGTTTTTTAAGTCATAGCCATTATCTCCAGAACGTAGTACAGTGTCGGGCACACATCTGATGCTCAGTAAGAATGGACTGAATGAATGAATCATTACCTATCTCATCCAATATATGAAATGACAATACTCAACCATACTGTCTTCTCCTTCGTTCTTTCACTAAACACATCTGATACAAGTTGTAGTAACTGAGAATTACTAATTCTAGCTACTTTTATTTTCCCAATTAGATCGGATGTTTCCTAAGGACAGGATCTCTATTTTCTATTTTTAAAAATTCCTTCTCGCAGCACTGTAGCCACAGTGAAACACAAACCTGCTTATTTTCTATGATTTGCAGCACACATCAAATAAAGAGGCATTATAGTAAAAAAAAACACAACTTTTTAAAGTAAAGAATAAAGTTAAAGAAAATAATGAGCAGCAAATGGTTCCCTGAATCGTCTCTGTAAGGTCAAAAAAAAAGGAGGACAAAGAGAAATAGCTGCAAGACACTTTCTATCTGTGCACAAACAAATAGGATATGGTTAGCTTCGCCTGAATTCTTTGTTATTCATGATATATAACAAAAGAAAAATTTCTTCTGAAAAGAGGTTCTGGCATCGATAATCTGGATGGAACTGCACAACATGTTAAGGGAGACAAGGAGTCCCAGTCATGGGAGACACACTGCACACTCCAGTAAGAACGCAGTTTGCCCATTTGGGGAAAAGAACCACAGTCTGGGGCTTTGGGTCCTTCTTTTGGAAATGTTTACCAGGAAGTAGTTTCCTGAACATATTTAAACTCTGGTGAAGGTTATAAAGGAAAAGCATTCCAATTATGACGTTACAAAGAGATATAGAAGTTGTTTTGACAGCACAGTAACAGTACTCTGCCAAAAATCGTCAAAATCAACTTTTTCAGTACTCGGAAAGTTAATAGAAGACTTGCAACAATCTAAGGAGCATTTATTCAAGAAAGTAAGTTGAAACTCAGTAAGAACAGTGAGCTCTGTGGCGTTTTAATTTGTCCTATTCTCTTTATCTCCACCCCAGCTCCACGGTAGCCTGGAAAACCAGCGGCCCTACAATCAGTGAAAACAAAGCAGTCCTAGCAGACACTACAGGGGCCAGAAGGAATTTGCAGCACCGCCCAAGAGCCCCACTGCCGACTTGTCAGTTTTTGGCTTATCAGGCACCTCTCTCATTCCTGATATTAATAATCTGTGTCTTTTCTTTTTCTCCTGATCGGACTGGTTAGAGGCTTATTAATTTTATTGATCTTAAAGAACAACTTTCGATTGCACTGATTTTTTTGTCTACTGTGGTTACTGGTTTCTAGTTCACTAAGTTCCACTGTGATCCTTACTATTTCCTTTCTTCTGCTTATTTTGGTTTTAATTTGCTCTTTGTTTTCGAGTTTCTAAAATGACAACTGGGCTCACAGTTTTGAGACCTTTCTTGTTTTCTAATATAGTATTTAGTGCTATAAATGTCTCTTTAATACTTTAGCATGATTCCACAAATTTTCAGATGCTGTGTTTTCATTTTCATCAGTTCAAAATACATTCTAAGTCTATTTTGATTTCTTCTTTGACCTGTGGGTACTTAGAAGAGTATTAGTTTTCAAATATTCAGGAGGTTTCCTAAACTATCTTTTTCTTCTTTTCACTTTACTTCCATTGTGGCCAGAGACTATACTGTGTATGACTTGAATCCTTTAGAAGTTGTTAAGAATTGTTTTATGATTCAGAATGTGGTTAATTAGGTCTAGTTAGTTGATACCACTGTTCAAATCTAGTACATCTTGATGATTTTCAGCTTACTTGTTCTATCAATTATTCAGAAAGTGTTATCAAAAGCATTAGCATATTTGTCAATTTCTTCTTTCAGTTCTATCAGTTTTTGCTTCATGTATTTTGAAGCTCTGGTGATTACATATAAAAAGTTCAGGCCGGGCGCGGTGGCTCATGCCTGTAATCCCAGCACTTTGGGAGGCCAAGGCAGGCGGATCATGAGGTCAGGAGATCAAGACTCATCCTGGCTAACACAGTGAAACCCAGTCTGCACTAAAAAAAAAAAAAAAAAAAAAAAGCCAGGCGAGGTCCTGTAGCCTGTAGTCCCAGCTACTCGGGAGGCTGAGACAGGAGAATCGCTTGAACCCAGGAGACAGAGACTGCAGTACGCCGAGATCGTGCCATTGTACCCCAGCCTGGGCAACAAAGCGAGACTCCATCTCAAAAAAAAAAGTTCAGATTTGCCATGTCTTCTTAACTCTTTTACCTTTAGGAAATTACTTTCTTTCTCCCATGTGTGATGGTGAATACTGAATATCAACTTGTTTGGATTAAAGGATACAAAGTATTGATCCCAGGTGTGCCTGTGAGGGTGTTGCCAAAAAAGATTAACATTTGAGTCAGTGGGCTGGGGAAGGCAGATCCACCTATATTCTCGTGGGCGCTACCTAGTCAGCCACCAGCAAATATAAAGCAGGCAGAAAAATGTGAAAAGGAGAGACGGGCCTAGCCTCCCAGCCTACATTTTTCTCCCATGCTGGATGCTTCCTGCCCTTGAACATCAGACTCTAAGTTCTTCAGTTTTGGGACTCAGACTGTTCTCCTTGCTCCTCAGCTTGCAGACAGCCTATTGATACTTAATAAACTCTGTGTGTGTGTGTGTGTGTGTGTGTGTAGTCAGGGTTCTCTTAGAGGGACAGAACTAATAGGGACAGAACACACCCCCTATTAGTTCTGTCCCTCTAAGAGAACCCTGACTAATACAGATTTTGGTACCAGGAATGGTTCTAGAGAAACAGAATATTATGAATGGAGTTTTTTTTTTTTTTTTTTTGAGACGGAG